GCCCCTCGAGCCTGGCTCCGCAGCCTCCTTCGGCCCAGGCTCCCGCTTCACCCGCTCCTTCCGAAGCCCCCGCACTCACTTGTCCTCGTTGTCTGACATGACGCCCACACCGACGCGACACGGCTCTGAGCCCAAGACCCGCGCGGAAACCCGCAAACAGCGTGCCTGCGCCTCGCGCGGCGCCCCGCGTACTCTGCGCCTGCGCCGTGACCCAGAGGCAAGTACTTCCGGGAGGCAGGCCGGAGCCGTAACTGTGCGCACGCGCCGAGAGGCGTGTGCCCGTTACCATGGTAGCCAGAGCAGCTGGCGGCGGCTCTGGTCGCCGAGATCTGCCAGTATTTGTGCGGGGCCCAGGCGCGGTGCCGCTGCGGAGCTGTGGTTACGGTCTCCCGAGCCCAGCCGCTCTCTGTGGCGGGGGACAGCCAGCCGGGGTCTTACTTTAGGGTGAGGTTTCAATTTCGGCGTATGCCCCAACGGGCCCTGTCCGGACCACTGCTGTCCTAACGCCCCCTTCCTCCAGAGACGCTTCCCTGCCGCAGGCGTCGGGTCAGGATGAGGTCTCCGTTCGTGTGTGTGGGTCTGCCTGTGTCTCTGTTCGGGGTAGGAGGATAGGGCACTGTCGCGAAATTGACGGCGACGTCACGATTCTCCTGTGGCTCCAGGACTTTGGGTGACTGTGGGGTGCGCGAGCAGAGATTGGACCTGGGAGACGGGGGTTGTGCCATTGCGTTTTTCCCTCCTCAGAGCCTTCCCATGGCTTCCCAGGAAAGGGTGGAGGCAGTGACCAAAGGAACAGAGTTCTGGCGCTGCCCCAAGCCGGCCACTTACACCCCGGGGACCTGCGAGCTGCTCAGAGGTCAGTGTGTTTAAAGGACAGGAGAAGAGTGGTGGTAACAGTTACCCTCTGTTCTCCCCTACATGACCTGTGGCTTAGCAATTGCTCTTGTCATTTTATAGATAAAAAGCCTGGGGTTCAGAAAAGTTCAGGGACCCTACAACTTGCAAGTGGCCAAAAGTCAAAGAAATTAGAATTTTAAAGAGATGGGCTCCTGTGCATCCCTTAGACCACACTTTCAGTTTCCCCAGGAAGCCTTATCTCCTCCCCACCCACCACCACCACAGTGGTTCCGCCCTTTCACACCACCAAATACCTTTTCCTTCAGTGGACAACACAACCTGTAGTCAGATATTTAGTTGTCTCCCATTGGATTAATATTCATCTACCCGTCTAGACCATGAACTCCATCAGGGCAGGGATTTTGCCTGTTTGGGCTCACAACTGTAGCTCCAGCCCCTGGCACATGCTTAATAAATATTGTCCATTCATTCATTCACTCAACAACAGCAAAAATTTTAAACCTACTTCATGTGCTTTAGACACTGCTCTAAGTGCTGAGGACACAGCAGTTAAAAAAAAAAAAAAAGGAAAACAGCAAAAATTCTTTCTGTCTCATGGAGCTAATATTCTAGTAGGAAGGGGACAATAAATAAGTAAAATATATAGAATTTTGATGGTAGTAAGTGCTCCAGAAAAAAACAAGGAGAGAAGGAGTACTCAGGTGCAGAATGGGGTTGGGGGTGATACAGTTTTACACTGGAATAGGGTGAGATGAAGGGCTCTGCCTGCCACCCAGGAGACCTCATAGAGGTGCTTTATCTTTGCAGTGATGATGAAGGAATCCAAGCTGACTAACTTCCAACAGCGCCACATCATGGACACCATGAAAAGTAAGAGGCAGTCCACAGAGGCTTCCTGGGCAGAGGGACTCTGGACCACACTTTTAATCCTCTTCCATATTAAGGGGTAGGGAAGGGACTTCATTTAAAAAGACCAAAGAAGGGGCGCCTGGGTGGCTCAGATGGTTAAGCATCTGCCTTCGGCTCAGGTCATGATCCCAGGGTCCTGGGATCGAGTCCCACATCGGGCTCCCGGTTCAGCGGGGAGCCTGCTTCTCCCTCTGACCCTCTCCCCTCTCATGCTGTTTCTCTCTCGCTCGCTCTCTAAAAAATAAATAAAATCTTAAAAAAAAATAAAAAGACCAAAGAAGGGGCGCCTGAGTGGCTCAGTTGGTTGAGTGTCTGACTCTTGGTTTAGGCTCAGGTCGTGATCTCATAGACTGTGAGATTGAGCCCATGAGGGCTCCCACCCAACGGGGAGTCAGCTTGAAGGATTCTCTCCCTCTGCCCCTTCTCCTATGCTCTCTTTCTTTCCCATTCTCTCTCTAAAAATAAATAAATCTTTAAAAAAAAACAATAAAAAATTAAAATACCAAAAAAAAAAAAATTGAGGAGTATTTCTGACCCCTGCTCCTGGGGAACTGACCTTTTAGGGCTTTTGCTTCTTCCCAGGACATGGGTCCTAGCACAACAACAAGCCTCTTGCGGTCTATCTCTGGCCAGCCTTCCGAGAGATCACAGCCCAATCGAAACATCCTGCCCAGCCAAAATAGTCTCCACATGGTCATGTCTGCCATCAGTCCCTTCCTGTTATACACATACCACATGAGCTCTCTGGAGGAAAGGACTGTGTGTGTGTGTCTTACTCATAGTTTGATTCAGTCACAGCTTAACTAGCAGAAACAAAACAATTGGCAGAATTCCAACATAGGAAGAGTGTACAAAGGCTTCCCACAGCTCACCTCTGGCCACCCACCGTATTAGTTATTTTGAAGAAAAACCAAAAAGTGGAAGGACATGAGTGCGATAGGAAGGTGCTCTCCAAGATCTTGAACACTACCTTCCTGAGCTGTAACTGAATCCGCACTTAATGGATCAGAACAGAGACCTGGGAAGTGGCCTTGAAGAGAATGTCAGAATCTTCTCTACTGAGTCTACCAGAAGTGATGGCCTTAGGTGCCGAAGGATGTGCTTGTGGGAGGACACCCTGAGCAGCCACAGGAGCAAAGGGGAGGGAGAACCAGAGAGGCAAAGATGGGCAGTACGTGTCCAGCAGTGGCCAGGGCAGGCTCTGCCATGCCAGCACAGGGGTCAAGATCCTCCTCGTTGGGGACAAGGACAACTCAGGCTGTCAGAGCCCAGAGCCGTAGCACATCCCCATCCCATCACTCCATCTCTGCACTCGGCAGTCCACAAATAATCTGGTGCCCACTGCCGCATGACTACAAAGAGAAGGTGCTAGAAATTCCAATAAAAGTAAATTCCAGGAGACCAAGGACTATGTCTGCCTTGTTCACCCCAGTACCCCCAGTGCCCAGGTGCTGGATATTTACTAAGGGACTGATTTGATTAGTGGGGAAACCAAGGTAAGGAACGGGTTTGCTGGACAGTTTTACTCTCCTAAGTTTGCTTTTTCTTACTTATTTATTTATAAAGATTTATTTATTTATTTTAGAGAGAATGGGAGGAGGGGCAGAGGGAGAGGGAGGAATCTCCACGCTCAGAACAGAGCCCCACACGGGGCTCAGTCCCAAGACCCTGAGATCACGACCTGAGCCAAAACTGAGAGTCAGACTCTTAGGCAACTGCACCACCCAGGTGCCCCCTTAGTTTTCTTTTTTAAAAACTTGCCTCCAAGCATTGGTGTTGAGACAGCTTTCTTCTAGAATCCCCTCTCTTTTTTTCTCCTCTTAACCAAATGCTACTTGTTGCTTTGCGGCTTCATTCGGATTCCGTTGCAAGCCGCAAATGCCTCTCCTTCACCTGAACTCCCAGAATTCCTTGGGCTGTAACCATCTGCTGAGGACGGGCCAGAGGAGGTAGCACTTGGCCCTGGGCAGGCGGACATAGGGCGTGGAGGGAGCGGGAGGGACATTCTAGGAAGCATAACATCTCTTCAAAGAAGAGCGGGAAAGGTGTGGTGGGGCTCTAGGTAGAGGCTCTGGGAAGGGGAGGGTTAGTGGGATGTAACGGTGACTCCATGCTTCCAGGCCCTCAGGACAGACACCTCGGAACCATCCTTGACTCCTCTCTTTCTTTTTTTTTTAAAGATTTTATTTATTTATTCATAAGAGAGAGAGAGAAAGGGAGAGGGAGAAGCAGGCTCCCCGCTGAGCAGGGAGCCCGATACAGGACTCGATCCCAGGACCCTGGGATCATGACCTGAGCTGAAGGCAGACACTTAACCATCTAAGGCAGACACTTAACCATCTGAGCCACCCAGGTGCCTGACTCCTCTCTTTCTCCCAGACCCCACATCCAACCCATCTGCGTGGGTCAGCTTGCCCTTCAAACCATATCCTGACTCTGACCACCTCTGCCCTTGGTCCCCACACCGTATTTTCCTCAGCAGCCAAAGGACCATGTAACTTCTCTGCTCAGAACCCTCTGATGGCTTCCCACCTCAAAGTAAAAGTCAGTCTTTCCAGAGGCCTACAAGGCCCTATACTTCTCTTGCCCTCCCTGACCTCTGACTTCTACTCCCACTATCCCCCGTCTTGCTCACCCCATTCCCGGCACCCTAGCCTCCTGGCTGTTGCTCAGACCCTCAAGGCACATTACCACCTCACAGCCTTTGCTCTAGCTGTTCCTTCTGCCTGGGATGCTCTTCCCCAAAGTATCTGCACAGCAGAGCTCCTCACCTTTGGGGTCTTCTCTCCAAGTTTACCCTCTTCATGAGGCCTTCCCTGCCTATCCTTTGTCAAATTGTAAATCCTGCTCTGACATACTCTGTTCCATCCCTGTACTGTCACAATCTATGTATTTTACATAATCATCATGCACACCCCTCCAACCCCAAATGTAAGTTCCCTGAGGGCAGGACTTTGTCTTACTTTACTACTTTACCCCCAGTGTCCGGGGCCTGGCACAGAGCAGATGTTCAGTATGTCTTTGCTGAGTGGATGATACAAGATTGGAAAAGTAGAAGAGGTAGATGGGAACCAGATCAAAATAACGGGTGGGGCCTGCTCTGAGCTGGGCTTTGGGGCGATTGAGAGGGACTGGTGTGTATTACCATCCAAACCATCCCTCCCTGCCTGTGGACCAAGCAGGTTTTAGGAATCCATCTATAGAAATAAAAGCACCAGTATAGAGGCTTGATGCACAAGAATGTTTATTGCAGCATTGTTTGAAGTAGTAAAAAAAAGAAGGAAACAGCTTGAATTTCTGAGATTAGGAGACTAGTTGAATAAAATAAATAATGTGTCCATTCTAAGAACTAGTATATAGCTATAAAAAATAAGTTATATATAAATGGAGTGATCTGGAAGGTTGTCCATGATAAATTGTTAAGTGAAGGGTCTATTACTGAATATAATACAGTATGATCCAGTGTTTGAAACACGAAGGTCATATACGCACATATATCTTTGAACATGTTTGTATTAACATCAGAGAGTCTGGAACAAGACCACCAAATTCTACCAATTGCTCGTTGTGGGGTGGGGGTGGGGGTGGGGGATCAGAGGGCAGAAGGGAAGACTTCTATACTCTTTGACTTGTTGTAGCAAGGCAGTATCACTTATAAATTAACAAAACACAACACAACCCAGGTGGCTTCCCACCCCCAACCGCGCCTCACCCGAACCTTCCTGCCCCAGGAGGAGACACTCTGCCCCTACGGTGCAGCCCAACATCCAGCCAGAGGGTCTTGCCTTCCAAACAGCCAGCCTCAGACATCTACCTGCCTCCCATCCTGGCGGCCCGGCCCCACCTCCGGCCTGCCAGCTTGTGCCAAGCCCGCGGGGCCTACAGCCGGGAACCATTCAGGCCTCAAGCCCCCCGTAAGTGAGAGGGCCTCGAGAGCCCCGATTCCCCCTCCCTCCCCGAGGGGGCCAGTGAATTCTCATGCTGTGTATACTCATGTGCTTGAACCTTGGCACTTGTTAGCTTGGGGTGTTCAGGGTATGGGGGAAACCAGTCAGGTGATCCTTTTTTGTTTAGAACTCAGTAATGATTAACTGGAGTCCACCCGTCCCTGAGGAACGTTTGTTTGGCTGTCAGGTCTCACGGCCACTGCTCTTTTAAGGTCACACAGTCGCTCCAATCCAGAGCTCCTCTGCATGCCAGCCTCCTCCACGGAGCCTTTGTCCCCCTCCCTACTGGGCGTCCGATGTGACTCGTGGCCCCGACCCGCCGACAGCTCCCTGCAGCCTCGGTACCCAGGCTGCCATCACGACAGTCATGTTTTCTTAGCCTCGCTCTGCACCCGAGCCGCGTGTGGGTTCTGACTTCCATTCCCCCAGCCCTTCCCCTTCCTGCCTGTCTTGACACAAGCTCGGGGTGCCCAGGGTAGAAGGCGCCCGGTTTGCGGAAGCCCGCTCCGTGTGGCCCAGGGGCCCTGGAGCAAGCGTGCGATGAAGGGGGTGCCCTGCCTGCCTTAATGAGGCCGTTTCTGGGCCCTACAGGAGATCTGGAGAAGGAGAAGCGAAGACTCCAAAATATTTTTGCCACTGGGAAGGACTCAGAGGAACGGAAAAGAAAGCCCCCTCAGGTGCAACAGGAGGACTCGGCCCCTGAGCCGGACCGCTTTGAAGAATGTAAGCCACTGAAGGGCCACTTATGCTGGGGTGGGGGGTGTGGAGGGGCCCACAACCTGCGGCCAGAGTGAGAAACACTGGCCACAGAACTGCTTCCTCTCCCCACGAGAAGCAACCTGTTGCCCCCACCACCCATCCCAGGAGCCTGCTGGCCCCCTACTGCCCTGTACACGGACGGCCCTTCTCCCCCCGTCTAGTGGTAAAGGAAATCCAGGAGAGGAAAGAATTCCTGGCTGGCATGGAGGCACTGGGGCAGGGCAGACAGTACCGAGGGATCATCCTTGCTGAGATCTCCCAGGTAGGAGAAGCAACAGGGAAGGGGTGGGGGAGGGTCGGCCATGAGTGCGCAGCGGAGACTGAGTGGACAGGGCAGCTGCGGCCCAGGTCTGGGAGTCCACTCTAGCTTCACAGCAGCGGCTCCTCAAGTCCCCTCCCTGATCCCCAGCTTTCCCTAATGCCTTTTGCAGAAGCTACGGGAAATGGAAGACATTGACCGCAAGAGGAGTGAGGACCTTGGGAAGGCTCTTGCCACCCCTTGATCTGTCTCCAGAGACAGGGGCAGAGTAGCTCATCCTGGACCACTGGAGCCCACCCCCTGGCCAAGCAGAGTCACCCCCCGGTCAGCCCACCTACCCTGGCCTTCAGTCACATCAAATGGTCATGCAGCACTGTCCTGGCCCAGGGGACCCTGGGCACACACGGCACCCTAGAAAATGGGCCATTCTCAGGGAATGAGCTGGTTCTCCTCAAGACTCTGCCCAGGGAGCCTGGGTCAGCTGAGCTGCTGAGACCCACAGTCACAGACACAGACACGCACACACCACACACACACACCATCACACACACGACTTCTAGTCTTTTCTCGGGGGAAAAGCCCATACACAGTGAAGGCAAGGCCCAATCTCACCATTTTGGGTGTGTGTCCGAGGGCATCCAATGGGCCTCTTCCTCCCCCGCCCCAACACCCACTGTGTGTCCTACATGTTTTCAGAACTTCAGAATGAATACGATTCCTTCCTTCCTACTTGCCTTAGGACCTACTTATTTGACTTCTTACAGCCTTAGGCAAATGTTTAACCACATGATTAATTGGCCAGTAAGACACATTTAACGTAGGTCATTGCATACACTGTTTTGTTTTCAGAAGGATAGACTATTTGTTCAAGGAGTTAGAATTTTTCAAGCACAGATGTGTTTTAGCTGTTTGCAGATCTCAAGTGGAAATGAGAACCAACACTTCTTGAACACCCCGCGGCCGGGCACTGTGTCGTGCTGAATTTCACTTGGTTCATTCTCTCAGTAAAACCCTCCGATGACGGTTCGCTCTCCCTGTGTGAAACCTGAGGCTCCCCAAGACGCTGTCACTAAGGTCATTCAACTGGCAAGGAGCCCACTCGGGGTTAAAAGTTCGTTCTCGGGCTTTCCACGAACCCCCCAGCCCACAGAAACACAAAGGTGGGAGAGAGAGAGACCAAAAGAGCGTGGCTTCGGAGCTCCAACCCCAGCCTGTGCCCTGGGAGGCTGGGCAGCACCACAGCCTCAGCTCCGCTGCCCCCGGTGAGGCCCTGCCTCGGAGGGCTAGGGAGGCAGCCCCGGGACCACACGCAAGTCCCCGTGTCTTCTGGCAACCACGAGCCCTGCACTCTCCAGGAGCCTCTCACTTCCCCATCCCCATACATCAAAACAGTTTGGAAAATTCAACCAACACTCCCACCTGGAGGGATTCGTGTAATCCTACAGGCCACATGACCCAAGTTTGGGGCTGCAGAGCAAACATGGCCCCACAGCCTCGAACAGGTAAGCGGAAGGGGCCAGATCAAGGGCTGGTTCAGGGCCATTTCCATGGGAAGCCTGCGTCACATACCCTCCAGAACCTGAGGGCAGAGGCTACACCGTGGTGAGGACAGCTCTCCTCCACCTCCAAGGCCCCCTCATGTAGCTCCGAGGCAGCAGACTGGAGAAGCCCAGGACACCTCGGGCCCACCCGTGACAACACAGCCTACCCTTGATTTAAATTCAGATTAGTTGCCAACACTTACAAATCACACACACAATCTGGATTTCTAGCTTCTTTTGAAAAATGGAAAGCTCTGGCCACACTGGGCCCGCATTCCCACAGGCTACAGTGACTTAAGGAAGGAAGAACTTCCCCCTTGAGTTAGGGCACAGACACCCCAGTTCACCTCAGGCCCCGCTACCTGAGTCTCCAGACACAAGACAGCCTGCCAGAGCCACCCCTCAGGTTACACCCAGCCTGGTCAGGTGTGTGACCTGCCTGGCCCTGAAAGCCTTTGGGGTTGGTGACCAGCTCCAGGTCAACGGGCATGTTTGGAAGGAGACCACCAGGGGCTGTGCAGGGGCGGGAGCTGCCCCTCCCGGCAGAGGAGGAGTCCTGCCCCCTGGCAGGCCCTGGAGGCCAAGGCCCCTGGCCGTGGACAGCCCCAGTCGCCCTCTTCCGGGCGACCAGAGCGGCCCGGCCACGGGGCATGGCGGAGGCAGGGAAGAAGGCGGACCCGGCTGAGGGCAAAGCGCCCGAGGCTCCGGGGCACTGGCAACTGAGGTGGTCTCCATTTATTGTTGGTGAGGAAAATCCTCGCGAGTTAATACAGTGCGTACTCTCCCCAGAGGGGTGCTGAGGGAGGGGGCCCTAGAGCGCCCCAGAGATAGCTTATACCAACAGGGCTTTGACTGGGGGCTGCTGGACACATTCCCTGGGGAAAAGGCAAATGTCCCCGTCGGCTCCTCCTCTCCCGTGGCCATCAGAGGGGTGAGTGGCTATCAGTCCTTCGGGGGGACAGGTCGGGAGAGAGCGGACAACAGTCAAGTGTGAGAAGACAGACTGGTGATGACCATACCCAGGGATGGGCCCACCATCCCCCAACCCTGGGGTGGCGGGGGGCAAGTCTAAATGAGGGGTCAGACTACAGCGTGGTAAGGAACCAGGATTAGCACCTCCATGAAGCACAGCTCCCTCCGCTGACGCTCGGGGACCAGAACTGCCCCTGGGGCCTGTCTCCCAGAGGCCCTCCCTGGGGACTCAGCTCTAGGGCACCCACCCAGCCCAGCACGGCCACCCAGCCCCCATTCCTGGGAGCTGAGGTTTCCGATGGAATGAGGGGGGACAAGAGAAGCACCTCCTAGAGCTTTGAGGGACAGAGGGAGGCATTTGTCCATCAGGCCCATTTGTGTCTGAGGACACAGTAACAAGCTCAAACCTAATTAGACTTCATAAATAGAGCTCCTGAGTGAGGAGAAACAGATTCAGGGCCACCTGCACTGGAAGGAAAACGGGGACTCGGAGCCAGGGCTGGGGCGGGAAGAAGCCAGGGCGGCCAAGCCAGGCTCGCGGCCTGCCAAGAGCAGCAGAGCCCTGAAGGCAGGAGAACCGGGCCAGAGGTCCACCACGGGCAGACCGCGTGAGTGGAAGGACCTTCGGGTCAGAACTTTGCCAGCTAACAATCCCATCTGGACATGGTACAGAAGGGAAGAGGGACCCAGGGGCTGCCCGTCACGGCAGGCGGTGGGTGGGACGCAAGGCAGGGGTGGTCAGCCCCCGCCGCTCCCTGGACCCAGGGCCCTGCTTGCTCCTTGGGTCAGTCACAGCCTCTAGAGTCATGAGAACCAGACCGGGCAGGGCTGAGCCACAGCTGCGTGCGGCCCCGAGAAGAGGGAAGAAAATTCTTTGGCCCAGACCAGCCAGAGGACCCTGAGGAGGAAGAGGCTGTCACCCAGAGGCCCCCTCCCGTGACGTCATCTTTCCCCGGGACTGATCCCGATGGGAAGCAGGGTGCCCCCCCAGCAGAACACAGCCCAAGGGCTGCGTGCTCCAGGGGGGGGTGGAAGTCCCAGCTGGTTGCCCTCGCTGTTAGCTCTTGTCCCCTGGGGACTTGCTCTTGGTATCCCGCTTGTTTCCTAGCAGCTTCAGCACCTTCATGGTCTTGAACTTCCCCTTCTTCTTGCCCTCGGGTTCAGCCTCCTTCTGGAACTCTGCAGAAGAGAAAGGGGAGCGCTTAGCACGTGGGGAAGGGGGGGTACGTCGGGGCGGGCCAGGGGCAGTGACGAAGGCCCAGCTCCTCTCCTCCAGCTCATCTGGAGTCTTGGGCATGTCACTTCACCTTTGTGAGCCCGCAGGACGGGGACCGTGCCCCTGTCCCAGTGATTTGGCAAGGATCCAGAAATAAACAACTGTGGAAGCAATCTGGAACTCGGAAGCATGGCATGGATTTATGACACGGACACTGACAGAGCTAGAAGGAACGTCAAAAATCATCTGCCTCACCCTCAGTTTTCACAAGGCAACTGTGGGCCTTTGAAATGGACTAACACCCGCTGAGCTCTATATGGGCGCCAGGCCCAGGGCGAAGCGCTTTCTGTGCACCATCCCGGGAACGCTCTGCACCCCCATGCTGCAGCCGAGGAGGGGGAGGCCTGCACGGCTGAAATGACGGGCTCCAAGTCACCCAGATAGTTAAGTTCCAGAGCTGGGCCTGGAAGCCAAGCAGCCTGACTAGAGTCCAGACCTAACCACAAGGCCACAAAATGAGTCACTGGTGGAACCAAGATGAAACCAGGTCTCCTGACTCCCAGGCCAGTGCTCTTTTAGCTGTTCCGGGCACCATCTTATCTCCAGTAGGCACGGCTGCTTGAGCCCACAAACTTCTTTTTTTTTTTTTAAGGTTTATTTATTGAGAGAGAGAGAGTGCATGTGCAAGCACCCGGGTGAGGGGAGGGACAGAGGGAGAGAATCCCCACTAAGCACAGAGCCAGACGCAGGCCTCCATCCACCACCATGAGATCGTGACCACAGCCGAAATCAAGAGTCAGGGGTTTAACTGACTGAGCCACCCAGGCACCCCTAGCCCACAAACTTCTCCAAGATCAGCTGCAGATATCAAGGAGGAACTCCTGACTTCAGGCAGCCGCCCTGGGAAGGTGCTCCTTGCCCACCCCAGCCCTCCCTGTAGCCCACCCTCTGAGCCCAGGCCACAGCCTTCCAGCCTCTAGGCTAGCCTGCCTCGGCACACATGGCCCTCCCTTCAAGAGAGAGGCTAAGAGTTTGCACACACCATCCCTGGAGTGCCCACTCCGACCCTCTGTTCAACCTGCCCCCTGCCCTCCCACAGTTCGGGTGGACCAGAGCCCTGGGAGGGGCCTCACCTTTCCTCCTGATCATGGCTTCCAACATCTTGTCTTCCTCCTCCTCCCTAAAATGAGAAAGGGAAGTCGAGTGTCCCACAGGAAGAAGGACACATATTCTCTCAGTCCCTTCCAGGCTGAGTCCCTCCCACAAATTGAGGGAGGGTGTGCTGGAATTGCTTGCTGTGAGGACAGAGCTGGCCTGGCCCACTCTGGGCCCCTCCTACAGGGACCTCCCCCCTCCCCAGCCACCTCACCTCTGCCGGTCCTCATCCAGGCAGTTGACGATGGCGTTGCGCTGCTCGATGAGGGTCATGAGCTCCCGCATCAGCACCTTCTCTCGGCCCCGGTCCTCCTCTGTCCAGTCCTTTTCTGCCCAAGGAGAAAAGTTGGGGAACTGAGTCGGGGGGAAGCCCTCCTGCCTTCCCAGGAAGCCAGGGACCAACGCCTAAGTGCTGAGGTGGTTGCGGCCTAGCCACATGCTGGATCCTGTGAGGACAGGAAGGAGGGCCCACCTGGGGAGGGATGACAAGTTTTGGGGGAAATGAAGGTTGTTCAGGAAGAGACCAAGGATACTAGGCTGCCTACCAAAAAACCCCTCAAGGGGGCTCCGGGACGGCGAGCACAACACATGTTCTGAGAACAGAGACCAGCTCTTGCCAAAGGGGCTCCTGCTTTTGCTCATTCATTCAACGAATGTTCACTAGATGGTTTCTTGGAGGCAGGATTCAGGCTGGGCCTGCTGAGAGCCTCCAAGGGCGGGCTGGCCAGAGCAGGGCAGGGCTGGGGAGGTAACAGGGGACCCCAGGGGTCCTTATGCAATAGAAACAATGTAACCCAAGTGGCATATTGGGATCTTCATATAATGCCATGAAGGAGGGCAGATTAGAGGGGACAGGACCCTGGAGGTGGTGAGCCCAGCCAGGAGGTGTCCCTGAAGTGTCATATACCTGCTGCCCCACCAGCCTCAAGAACCTGAGCCATCCCAAAGGACCACCCAAGGGCCCACCTGCACCTTAGTTTCCCTTTCAACCAGCCCATAGGCTCCCAGGGGAAGGGTGCCCACACCTAGCCTTCCCTCTATCACATCTGCCACCACAGGCCTCCCTATCTTGAAATAAACATCCTGAGGACAGCCCCCCCCAACCCGGTCATGTTCCAATGTCCTTACACCTCACCTTGCCAGAGCTCAGGAGCAGGTGGCCCAGCATAGTTCTGGGGACAGCATGGGAGTCACCATCCCAATTCAAATCCCTCTGCTACTTCCCAAATGTGGGGCCTGGGGAGGTCATGTCCCTACACTACATGTGGGGAAACTGAGGCTCAGGGAAGTTGGGTCCTTGGCCAGTGTCACACAGCAAGGGTGGAGCCAGTCTTTGATCCTGGGTAGCTTGACATCCCCAGGCTTCAGCCCTTATGGTGTTTTATGGGTCCCTAACCGACCTGGGGCCTTATAAATCAGGCCCACCCTGCAAAAGCAACCTCCAGGACAGGATGACAAGCCCAGGACGTGCAGCCATCACACAGGCTAGAAAAGCAACACAGTAAGCCCAGGGCCAGGCTGGCCTGGGGCGCACACACAGGACGCACTGCGCCCACTCCAGCCACAGGGCCTCACTGTGGCTCCCTCTGGTGGGGGCCGTGCCCCAGCCTCCAGGAGATGTGGGCATGACTCATAGAGGGCGGTGGAGTGGCCTCCAGAGACACTTCTGCCTCTGCGTCTTATCTAGCCTCCCAGGTTCCCTAGTCGGTGGAGAAGCAGGACCACTGTCCCAGCAGGCAGGAGGGGCTGCGTGCGCTGGGACAGGCCAAGTCAGAGACAGGGATTAGAAGCCCAGCGCCAGCACCAATGGGCAAGACTCAATCTCTGGCTCTCCATCTCCTCACCTGTGAAATGGAAACAGTGAAGCCCACGGTCTGGGCCAGAGGAAGTGGCCAAGAGCCCTGGCTCCTGTGGTCTCTCTGCCTGCCTGTGGCTCAACTACACATCAGGGCCACAGACCCCAACTCAGCCACATAATAACCATCAACCACCAGCCCCTCGGGGGGCACGGAGGGTTTCCCATCCGCCATCTCCTGTCCCAGGAATACCCTGCAAGGCGGGTCCCTTCATCCTGCCTTACACTTGAAGCTACTAAGGCTCAGTAAGGCTAAGAAACCTGCCTAGCCCCCGCTCCCTGGCCCCTGCCTCCAGCATGTTCGCGGTGGAACACGGCAGAACACAGGACTCCGTAGGACTATGTAACTCCACACCCAGTCCCACCCGCTGCCCCTCCACCATTCTGACCCCATCCCACCCGGCACCCCCAGAGTCCTTCTGAGCCACAGTGTGCGCGGGATCCTTCCACCTTCCCTCCCACCACGGGTGAAGTCTGGCTGTGCTCTGGCCTCACGGCCATGAGCCCCGACCTACCTCTGCTGTCACCCACTCATCTGGGGCAGCCCTGGGCCCTGGAGCCAGAAGGCTCTCCCCAGCGGGGACCTGTCTACCCACAAGTCCCAGGAGATAGGCCAGCCTGCTCCTGGGCCTGGTGCTCTCTGCGAGCCTGTCTTCCCTGATGCCACATGAGGCCACACCCCCACACTGGCCATGCTGTTCCTTCTCCTGCCATCACTCGAGCCTATTTATCACCTGCTAGGACCCAGACTGCACCTCCTGGCCCTCTCGCCCATCAGGGCCGGTAGGGTAAGACCTGGGCCCACTCGTGAATGTCACAGGCCCCCAGGCAGGTGCCAGAGGAGTACGGGGGTGGGGGGGCATGCTCACCTGGCTTGTTGAGAAGACAGCGGAGCTCGTACTCCACATCCGCCTGGCGCTGCTCCAGGTTCTGCTGCTTGAAACTAGAGGGTGGGAACAGCCAACTCTTAGCCCTGCCCCGGGGCCGTCAGTGAGGAGCGAAGGCAGGGAAGGTGCTCCGTGCTGAACTCCACGGATTCCGGGGAGCCGAGCAGGGGGCCGAGCGGGGAGGACTCACACATAGATGAGCTCAGACTCCCGCCGCACCAGCAGATGCTTCTCGTGGATGAGCTTGAACCAGTCCACCAGCATGTCGTCCTCACGGCCCTCTGGAAGCCAGATGCCCACTGAGGCCAGGGCTGGCAGCACCTGCAGCCCTCAAAGGAGCCGTCGGGGAGGGAGGCTCCCGCCACCCGAGCCCCACCCACCAGGCCCTCCCAGCAGCTCCCGCACCAGTCACTCCGCCCCGCAGCTTCTCCTCCAGCAGGACCCCACGGTGTTCCAGGGCATCCAGCTGGCGCTCGATCGTGTCCATCTCTCCGTGGATGTCCTCCTCGGGGATGTACTGGTCGGCCTGGACCTGCCCGACAATGCCCCGGTCACCGGAAGGACAGCCCACCCGTCCCACCTGCCCGCTGCCGGGCGCTTTGCCATTTCGCGGGCCAGCACTGGCCTCCACAGACCCCGGGCCTGGGCTCTGTCCCACACCCCAGCGCGGCCGGGTGCAGGAGCCCGGTGTGTGGAAGGGCCGCTCTGGAGAGGGGCCCCAACCCCTCCGTGCCCCCGACCCCAGGGCTGAAAGGCACCCCCAGAGGGACGCACAACCTCCTGCCTCTCGTGGCAACCCGCCCCCCTCCTCTGCCACTCCAGAACTGATATCACAATGTAAGAGAGTGACCCTAGGGGAGAGAGAAACTCAAGAACACTCTAATCTGTTTAACTCCAAGTGTATCATGTGAGTGCTTCCATCCTCAAACTATTATTAGTAACAAGTGAAATGCACCAGCCACGCTCCAGCTTGAGAACAGCTGGTCTGCTCAAAATCCCCCCTGGCTGCAAGTTAAACCTTCCCATCGGGGCCCCCCCAAGTGCCCCTCTCGGCACCCCCAAAAGCAGCTGCCCAGACAGCCCATCCTCTCAAGAGTCCCCAGGACACCTGAGGCGGCCAAGCGCCTGCAGGCTGCCGGCCGGTACCTTGCGCTTGATGAGCGGGAAGCCGTGTCCTGGGGCAGGTGGTCTGGCTGGCTTGGATCCCTTGGTGGTCTTCTTTGTGGTTGGGGATGCTGTGGGTGACGCCTTCCGGTTAAAAGGGTTCTCCTTGCAGGAAGACTAAAGGCAGGGAGAATGGCAGAGGATAAGTCTGGGGAGGGGGGGACAGTAAGACCCCCAGCAGCCTGACTACATGGGACTAGGGCCTGGAGGCCGGGAGGGGGCAGCCCAGGCAGAGAGAGAGACTCCCCTAGCACTCCAGCTCTGGTGCACAGAGGCATTCGACAAACATTTTCCTTTCCACGGGCTTCCCGCCTCCAGTCCTGCGCTGGATACCTTTATACACACTTTTCTCCCAACCTCTCTGCAAAATGGGTATTGTAATGCCATTTTATAGCTGAATACACTCAAATTCAGAGAGCTTAATTAATTGGCTCAAGGTCATGCACTTCCTAAGGGCCCAAGCTAGGGCCGGGGCAGCCGTCTAGCACCGGGGGCAGTGGTCAGGACGTGGAGTTTAGGGCCAGATGGCTATGCTCACTCACTCAAGCCTCACAACCACCCCTTTCTAGCAGGAACTCTCAGGCTCAGAGAGGGAAATGAAGCTCCTGGCCCGTGTCACCCTGACAGGAAGCAGGGATCCCACCTTCCATCTGGCCGGGAGATGGAGGAAAAGAGTAGCTTCCTTCCTCCCTGTCCAGGAAAGACCCCTCCCCTCTGCTGCACCCCGCTCCATGCACCCCAGCCCTGCATCTGTCTGACCCTCTGTGGAGAGCCTGCCCCCTGAGGTCAGCACAGCCAGACAGCCGGGACGGGGCCTCGCCTGCCCCACGGGCAACGCCAATGTCCTCCAACTGCTTTCCCCAGCTCATCTGACACAGTGTCGTCGTGACGGGCCCCATGGAAAGGTCTTGCTTGAGGCCTGCAGTGCTCCCAGGAGTGTTTACCCAACTTTCTCCCAGCAGCTGAGGGAGGCTGGAGGGAGCCCTGCTCACCCCACCCACATTAGCCCATGGAGAGATTCTTTCAGGCAGGCAGTTGCCCTGGGATTTCTGGAGCAGGGAAAGTACCAGGGCCTGAGTCCAGGCATGGCAGGGTTTGGTTTCCACAGGGCAGCACCTGGAGGGGCCCAACCCCAGCGACGGGGTTGCCGAGGGCGGCTCTGAGTGTGACAGGCGGGTGGTGTGCAGAGCTGAACAAACGAGTGGAGGGGCCCAGCAGGGTCAAACAGCCCGAGGCCCCTGAGTCCCCAAGGGTTCTCAGCCTTTCAGCCTGGGTGGCTCAGTCTGTTAAGCGTCTGCCTTGGACTCAGGTCATGACCCCGGAGTCCTGGGAGCGGGCTCCCTGCTCAGTAGGGAGCCTGCTTCTCCCTCTGCCACGCCCCCTGCTTGTGCTCTCTCGCTTTCTCTGTCTCTCTCCCTCCTTTTCTCTGTCAAATAAATAAAAATCTTTTAAAAGATTAAATAAATAAATAAATAAATAAATAAATAAATAAATAAATAAATAAAAGGCGCCACCTGAAGGTGGAGGGCGGGGTGTCCAAAGTTGACCTCTTCCCCCACCTGCCACCACCAGGGAACCCTGGGCCTCCTTAGAGCAGTCTGAGGCCCACAGAAGGGGCAGGGTCTTCTCAAGGTCACACAGCAGGTGGGTAGCAGAGCTGGACAGGAGGCTACTGGCCAGGTCAGGGCAGGTGAAATGTCTGAAAGGTGCACAGGTAAGAGCTGGACCAACAGCTCAGCCCGCTCCCCAGACTTAACCTCTGTCAGGTCCATCAGACCATGACTACTGCCGCCCTACCTGAGCTGTCCTGACACCCTCCATCCGGGGCCACATGAGCCTTGGGCCTTCAGGGGCTGCAGAGTGTGCACAGACGTGGACAATCAGAACCTGGTGGCCCAAAAGGACTATGGCTACAAGAGAGGCGCCCTCAGGAACTAGATGCCCAGAGGAGTGTCCTGGACCCCTGATGACCCCCGGTTCCCGGTATGGGACTGAGGAACAATTACACGAACAGCCACAAAGGTCACCTGGAGAACGAGCTCCCTGAGATGGGTGCCCCCGAGAGGAGACGGAGTGCAAGGAGGGCCTGGGAGGGGGCCTCGGCATAAACAGGGCCTCGTGAACAGAAAGGATGTGAAGATAGATGGTGGCTGGGGAAATGGGTCCCGGATGGGCACGTACACGGGATAGGCAAGTAAACAGGTGCCCAGACGCATCACTCTATGAAGGACCAGGCAGGTGGACAGGTGAAGAGATGGATGCGAGGATGGATAGATCAATCTGTGCCTCAGTGAATTGAGTCAGGAATGGGCAGATGGACACAGCAAGGTCAGAAAAGAAGTCAGAGGCCAGCAAAGATGGAAGACCCTGGACATTCCCGCCCTGAGACCAGACAGGACAGCAGCTCTTAGCAAGGGGGAGGACTCACCTTTACTTGGAGCTGCGGGGACGAGGTTCCAGGGGAAGGCACGGGGCTCTTGTCTCCAACCAGTAAGAGAGGGGTGGGGGCAGCGCCACTGCAGGGCTTGGCTGGCTGGGGAGCCGGGCTGCCCCTAGTACCGGGGGCAAGGCCAGGGCTGGCCTGAGGTGTCTGGTCTGCGCTGGGCTGCACCAGTTCCCCAGAGGAGGACAGGGAGGAGGAGTCGGCAGAGAGGCTGGCAGAGGTCCCAGGGGTGCCAGGGGCATGGACTGCAGGCTCTGAGGAGCTCTTGGGCACAACTGGGGGCTCCAGAAGCTCCCCAGAGGGGGTCCGGCTGGAGCTCTCAGAGGACAGGCTCTCCACACTGAGGGCTGGTGACGGAGTTGCCGAGGGCGGCTCTGAGTGTGACAGGCGGGCAGTGTGCAGAGCTGAACAAACAAGTGAGCACATGAGCACCCCGCGAGGAGGCACAGCCCCCCCAACACCGTCCCCTCTCCACAGAGTGCTTCCATGTGCAGACAAGGCCGGGGCCCAGAGAGCAGCAAGGGCATGACAGGACCAAGGTCAGCAGCCGCCGAATTGTCCACATTCAGCGCCCACCCTTCGGGATCTGGGGCACCACCTCAGGGCACATCTGTGGTCCTGGGTTCCCTCACTGCCCCTCACTTCCTCCTGCACGTGCCCACTGCCTCCACTTCCCCTCCCAGGTCTGATCTGACCCAAAGCAAAGCCCAGGGGAGGAGGCGAGGCTGCCGGGGGAGGAGAGGGCAGAGAGCCCAGGCTGGCCCGTCCTGTGCGTTGGACCAGCAGGAGAGGGGAGGAACCGGCAGCCCTCGCAGCGCCGGCCCTGGCCAGGCACCGCCCCGGGCCGCGTTAATCCTCGTGTGGGTGATGGGTACCATGCTCCGAAGCATCGCCATCTGTCTTTTCCAGATGAGGCGGCAGACTCAGAGGGAAGGCACTTGCCCGGCAAGGGCCGGGGCTGACACAGCTGTGTGTGGCTCAGCACTCAGCGTCCTGCAGCTGCCCATCCCCCGTAGCTGGAGGGTCCCGGGGTTCCGGCAGGGGCCGGAGCGGGGAGCCCCGGGCCACCTGAGCCCTGCTTCCCCGCATCTCTCATGCACTCTCAGCCCCCCTGTCCGAGGGGCTCCAGCTGAGGTCTTGGAGGCGGCCGCACCCCAGCCATGATGGCAGGTGACCAGGCCTGAGGCCTGAGAAGCCCCCAAGATGGTGACAGACAAACACTGCAACAGGGGGTGCCTGGGGTGGCCCAGTCAACTGAGCGTCCGACCCTTGATTTCAGCTCAGGTCATGATCTCAGGGTCCTGGGATCGAGCCCCGAGTCGGGCTCCACGTTCAGTGGGGAATCTGCTTGAGATTCTCTCTCCCTCTCTCTCTCTGCCCCTCCCCCCACTTCTCTCTCTTTCTCTCTCTCTTTCTTTCTTTCTCTCCCGGTCTCTCTCTCTCACATAGATAAACAAATCTTTTTAAAAAACAACTACAACGAGGCTGGATGAGTGGGCATGGCTGGAGGGAGGCACAGCGCCCCGAGGCTGGCCCGCCACCACTGTCTTCCAGATGGGGACACTGTAGGCAGACACAGGGAAGGAGCTGCTCAAGGTCACACACAGCCAGGTCAGGGCCCAAGGTGCCCGGCGACGGGAGGGTAGTGACTAGACAGGCAGCACTCAAGCGAACCCCGGCCACATGCTCTCCGGGAGCCGGGCGGTGCTGAGCCCCTCACTGAGGCACACATCGCATCCTCACAACACCTCACCGTGAGGCGGGTCACGGAGGGTTAGGAGGAGAGAGCGTGGAGCCTCTGGCCTCCTGCCTGTCAAATCTTGCCTCTACTGCTCAGTGCTATGAGGCCTTGGGCAAACCCCTCTCTGTGCCTCCTTCCTCACTGCAAGATGGGCGCATGCTACCTACCCGACAGGTGTGCTCTTGAATTAGCTGCGAGGACACACGTGGCCCCCGGCCTGGTGGGGACCCCAGTGCACCACACAGCCTTCCCCAGCCCTGGGCTGACTCCGGCCCCCGAGCCCAGCATTTCGTCAGGAAAGCTCCCAGAGATGGCACTCACCGAGTGGGGACGCGCTGGGCGCGCGGGGGGCAGGGCGCTTCTTCGTCTTGGGGCTGCTGGTGGGGGTGATGCCATACCAGGGGTGCAGGGACTTGGGTGTGGACTCGGCCGACGGGGCCAGGGCAGGGCCAGCGGCCAGGCTGGGTGCAGCTGGGGGGTCCTCCTCCTCCTCCTCCTCCTCCTCAAAGGGGTTGTAGGGCTTGGGCTCCGGGCTACCTGTCACCTGGCTCTGCTGGGCTGCCTCCTCCCCGCCTCCATTCTCCACCTGCCTGCCGTCCCGGCTCGGAGGTCCGGGGCTGCTGCTCGGGGGGAGGGGGGCTGGCTTCTTCTTTGGCTCTGCCTGCACCAGTGTGATCCATGGGGGGTCTTTCCTGGGGGCTGGTGTCCTGGAGGGAGGTGGGAAGAGGCAGAAACCACTGGGTGGGGGAGGGAGGCAGCATCCTCCTCTCTCTGGAGAGTTTTAAGTCCATTTCAAAGGGAGTGGATGAGAAACTGCACCCTTCTCCCCCAGCCCCGTGGGGTTAGTCTGGGCCCAAAGCTGAAATGGGGAGAGTGAACCTTCACATCATAGCCTCCGTCAGCCCGGCCCAGGAAAGGACCCACAGGGGCTCTCTGTGTGAGGCTGAGAAAGTCACCTGGCCCCTCTCCATAGTCGCCCACCTATGAAATGGGGACAGTAACCTTCACAAGGGCATTCTAAGGCTCCAATGGGCACAGGGCCTTGCGTACAGCAAGTGCTCTTTGAGCATTAACTACTATTACAGCTGGGGCCCACTCTCCCAGGGGACGCACAGCTCCAAAGAACGGCTGGAAATAGCTGTCCTCACACGGGACACAGAGTCCCAGTCTGGAGGGCCTGAGCCAGGTACACAGCGGAGCTTTTCTGCGTCTTTCTAGACCCAGCTGCCACTTCTCACAGCAGCTCTGTGAGTGAGGCCTACGTCTCCCACGTTACAGAGCAGCAGGGGCGTGGAGAGGTCCAGGGGCTCCAGAGGCACTGTCTCTACCAGGAGTCCTCCCCACAGGAGTGGGGATCCCAGGGGAGCCCCGGGGAAGGAGATGTGGGCCCAGCACTCAGCCCCAGCGTCACCCACCCAGAATGAGCCTTGCACGTCCTCGGGAGGCTCTGCTGGTGACTCATGTGCCCACGGAAGCCTTGCCCACCCCCCAGACCCCAGGGGCACCCCCATTCCCAGCACGAGGGCCTCCAACATGGGAAAGCCTCTCCGAGCCAGCGTACCTCTCTGACAGCTTGGGCGTCCCTCTCGGCTTGGGGACAGGGGGCTCGTGCAGCCTTCCTAGATGGGAAAGGAGAGTCAGACAGGCCTTCTTCATGGGCGGCTGTGGGCTGGGCAGCAGAGCCGGGCACTGGGGAGCCACGGCGTGCCCTCCCTTTCTACCTGGCAGAGCCGGGACTCCAGGTGGCCAGGGCCACCTCACCTCCCACCTGGCACCACCCAGCACTTGGGGAGATTAGATAAGCACCAAAGGTAACAGGTAAAGAATGGTCATGGGGGCAAGGCCAGGATTCCTGGAAACCCCATCGGCATTTCAGCCGAGAAGGGGGGACCCAAGTGTCCCTCGGACACTTCCCAATGTGGACAGGAAACACTGCCTTAACTCAGCCTAGAAGCCTCCCCTGACCCCCTAGTGTCCCCCATGAAACCCACAGTAGCCTCTGCTTCCCCTGTCCTAACAGCCTTCCACATTCTATAGAAATCTCTATTATCTGTGCTTGTCTCCCCACTGAGCCTGGCAGGGCCTCGAAGGCACAAATAGGCCTGAACAGGACTGTCCCCAGGGCCTGGGCTCAGAGCGGGCCCCCCCCACCCGTGGATGTGGAGCTGAACAAGGCCCAGAGAATGCGGACACACGAATACTCCCGATGCGCACGTACATTTAAACACCAGACGCGCCCCTGCAAGTGCCCGGCCCCCGCTGGACCCTTGCTCACCATTTACTAGGCCACTGCTGCTACCCTGCTCGGCCAAGTTCTCGTGCTGCAGACTGGACCGGGGCCGGGGCGTGGGGGGTGTCAGGGCTGGGCTCTCGGGGGCCTTCCTCGGGGCAGGCGTGGGGCGGCCGGCCGGGGCGCTGCCCAGGTCCTGTGGTTTGCCTGGAAGCCGGGGCTTGGTGGGGATCTGGGGCCGGGCCTCGGGGCTGGCCTTGGGGACAGCCACCTCAGCCCCTGCGGGCACGTTACCACCCGTGCCGCCTCCGTCCACATCCCTGACTTCTTCTGCAAGCTGCTGCTGCTTTGGCTGCAGATGGGGCCCGGCCTTGGCCCCCGACCGCCCCCCCGGGCCCAGCCTGGCACAGTGCGCCGCGCACACGAAGGTGCCTTCCTCAGGCCCACTTCTGTAAGCTCCGGGGAGCAGGGTGCTGGAGCACCGCCGACACCTGCCAGGGAGAAGGTGGGGAGGAGGCTTCAGCGGAGCCGGGCACCCGGCCCGGGGCACCGGCTCCTCCTCCCCCAGGAGCCCCCGCTGTTCCTGCCCTCCCTCCTCGCGTATGCCAGCCTGGATCTTGTACCGCGGCCTTCCCACGGGAGGAGGCGAGGGGTAACCGCCAGAAGCACAGAACAATAAAATCACATGAAATCAAGCAACATAAATTGTGAAACATGCCTTCAGTTTGTGCTGCAAGAGGAAGCAAAGGTTTGTCCCCGCGCGGAGGTACCAGCCAGTGCCGGGGCCGTCGGTCACCAGCGGCTCAGGAAACCGACTGAGTCGTTGTCAACCAAGCAAGGTTTTTTTGGTTTTGTTTTTTATGAAACAGAGTAAAATACAACATACCGGAGTGCACCGCACAAGTAAGAATATATTGTTTGAGAAAATTCTCATTCCAGTTGTGCGTCTATTTACGCGGGGTCTTATTCAGGTGTGTATTCACAACTGGTCACAGTGTCACATGTATTTCTTACTGGGGGTCCCTGGAAAAAGTCCTTAAAATGCTGTCCTCACGGCCAGATGTGAATGTGTTAGTATAAGGGTGCCCCTGCTTGAGCTTTGCCCTCGTGACGCCTCAGTTCTGCAGTCAGGCCCCTGGGGTTCCAGGCCTGGCCACCACACCCCCACACCCCCCCCCAGACATACACAGACACACAGAGACACACACCCACACACACACACAGACACAGACACACAGACACACACTAACCCACAGTCGAATGCATGTTGGAACTCAGTCGCTGGCTTCCCTTGACTATTTTTTTTTTCTTTTTTTAAGATTTTATTTCTCTTTTGACAGAGAGAGAGACAGCGAGAGAGGGACCACAAGCAGGGGGAGTGGGAGAGGGAGAAGCAGGCCTCCCGCAGAGCAAGGAGCCCAATGCGGGGCTCGATCCCAGGACCCCGGGATCACGACCCGAGCCGAAGGCAGACACTTAATGACTGAGCCACCCAGGCACCCACCCTTGACTATTTTCTGCTTGCTTTTTTGCAACATATAAAATGTTTTCAGGGGCGCATCAGTCAGTTCAGTGTCTGCCTTCGGCTCAGGTCACGATCCCGGGCTCCCTGCACGGGGCTCCCTGCTCAGCGGGGAGTCTGCTTCTCCTCCCTCTGTCGCTGCCACCCGGCTCCTGATTTCTCTCTCTCGCTCGCTCACGCTCTCTCTCAAATAAATAAATAAAATATTTTTTAAAAAATGTTTTCATACATGTTCTAAGTTATTTGTCTTTTCCCTGTCTCTTATTCCATTTTCTTTAAACTTGGCTTCTTCCGGGAGCCACACATTGAAAGCAAGTTGTTATTGTGATTTTTTAAAAAAATCCTTTCTTTTTTCAAGGGCTTCTAAAGCAGCTCCTCAATCGTCATCAGGTCGTTGGCCTCAGAGAGCTCCGGCGCGGGAGGCAGAACCCCTGAGCTCAGCTCCTCTGATTCTGTGACTGACAAGGCTTCTCCCCTCACTAAGCCTTAGTTGGCTCATCAGTAAAATGGGTTGATAAGCAAGATGCTCCGGCATGAAGGGCCCTGCAGTGTGCCTGGCACACTGTGATGCTGGATCCACAGAAGCTCCCCTCCTTGGAAATGGGGTGCTGGGGGGCTCGCCCCCCCCACCCCCCAGGCTCCCACGGCCACTCACCGGAAGCAGTGGCGGTGGTAGAGCTTGCCCTCAGCCAGGTAGCGCTGGACCAGGTGCACGTGCTGCTGGCAGGCAGCACACGTGCTACTGGGGGTCTGCTGGGCGCCCCGCTCTGACAGGCTGCCCGATGACAGCTCCTCACCCTGCAGGGAACGGGGCGGGCAGAGGGGCGCGGGGCCACGGTCACCAGCCTCCCTGTTCTAGAACAGCCCCCTTCCCCTCCCAGCAGCCGCTGTCCCCCAAGTGCACACGAGCTTCACGGTGCTAATGCACATCATCAGGGCCCCGGAGGAACAGAGGGAGGGACACAGTCGCCGCTTTGTGGATGAGGAAACTAAAGCCCAGAGCGGTGGCGGGGGGAAAGACTTGCTCAAGGTCACTGAGTCAGAATGGAAACAGAAATCCTGACTTCCAGTTTCTGGGGCCCTCTCTGCCAGAAAGATGGCTGCTGGCTGTGTAACTTCCCTTCCCCTTGGCTGCTCTGACCCCTGTCCCATCCCTGCAGGTTGGCCCCTGACGCCTGACCTCGTCTTAGGCCCACCTCATCTGCCTTCTCTGCCTCCCCTCCTACAGCTGCAGCAGGGTTTAAATCCCAGTGTCTCCACTTCCAAGCACTGTGACCTGAGCAAGCTGCTCACATCCCTTGGCCTTGGGTTCCCAGCTGCCAGTGGAATCCTATAACCCCTGCCTGTCTCAGCCCCACCTCACTGGGCACCCACGCCGGGCCAGGCTCCCCGGGCCCTCAGGAGCTCCTCCAGCAAGGACAAATCGGGGAGCAGGTGGGAAAAGCCCTTTGTACCCCGGGAAGTGCTATCCAGATGTGAAGGGCTGGTGTCACTCTAAGCATCTTGGAGCGGGGCGCTGACCTTAGACAAATGACCAAACCTCTCTGAGCCTCAGGGTTCTCATCTAACAGGACTCACACCACCCACCTCCCAGGGTTGTTGAGAGGACAAAACGGAATCATGCTAGGAAGCTAAAAGCTCTGTCTTGACAGGAATCAAGGAGAATATTTGCTACATTACATGTGTAAATCCTGTCAGTGCCAGGATGACAAAGTCAGTGTGGCAGACTGTCTGATGCCCCCTTCCTAGGCTTGGTGTCTCCTGATCCTGCCCCAAGCTCTCGAGAAAGAATGGAGCTCCCTGCCCACAGAATGGGACCGGAATCTGGCCCATGCCCCCTCAGCCTGAGGCTCTACTTCCAAAGCCAGTGGGGAAAGGACCAAGAATCAACACTGCAATGGTACCCACTCAGCCTCCCCCCCAGCCAGGCATCCGCCTACCTGAACCCTGTCTTCTGGTTCTGCTGCAGTAGGTGCTTCGGGTGGCGGGGAGGAGGGTGCCTGGGCCTTTCTAGGTGATGAGACACCAGCTGCCAAGAGACAGGAAAGAGACCCTGAGGAAGGTGGAGACCCTGGGGCCCAGGAGGCCCCCAGCCGGCCTACAACTTGAACTCCCCAGCTATGGCCTTTGGGAAGACTACCCAACACCGCCAGACCAGAGCAGGCTCCCACTTCACACAGGCCAGGAGACACCTCCTCTTCCAAACCAAGGGCCAAGGGCAGGCTGCTTAACCTCCCCGAGCCACCACAGAGTAGGACAGTGACTGACCACACGGGGTCAGTGGAAATGCTAGGGCAACAGTAAAATCACAGAATGGGCAGGTGCCCAGCACGCAGCAGGACCAGGAGCTTCCGTCCCAGCAGGGTAAGGGGATGGGAGGGAAGGCAAAGAGAGGAACCACGTGGTGCTGGCTGCAAGGTTCAGGAAAATGGGCTGGTGTGGCCGCATGCCCTCACGGCAGAAGAAACGCACCCACCCCAGCCCACCAGCCCCCTCGGAGACTCCACTCCTTTCTTACTTCAGCAAATATTCACGCAGCACCTACTCTGTCCCCAGTGATGAAAATAAAAAATGAAAATTCAGAAAGCCGTATACCCCAAAACATCAATTTTACCATTTGATGATTTTAGGAATAAAATCCAAGTTCCTTACCGTCGTCTAAAATATCATTTACCAGGGCGCCTGGGTGGCTCAGTCGTTAAGCAGCTGCCTTCGGCTCGGGTCATGATCCCAGGATCCTGGGATCGAGCCCCGCATCGGGCTCCCTGCTCCGCGGGAAGCCTGCTTCTCCCTCTCCCACTCCCCCTGCTTGTATTCCTTCTCTCAGTGTGTGTGTCTCTCTCTGTGTGTGTCAAATAAATAAATAAGATCTTAAAAAAAAAAAATTTTTAAATATCATTTACCAAACTAGATCACAATCCGTTAGCAGACCTGGAAATCAAGTTAGTGGTTACAACCAACACATTTAAAAGGTGAAATAGAAAATATCTCCACGCATCACATGTTGCTGTGTTGTTTTTTTGTTTTGTTTTGTTTTAAAGATTTTATTTATTTTTTAGAGAGCGAGCGAGAGAGAAACAGCATGAGAGGGGAGAGGGTCAGAGGGAGAAGCAGGCTCCCCGCTGAGCCAGGAGCCCGATGCGGGGCTCGATCCCAGGACCCTGGGACCATGACCTGAGCCGAAGGCAGATGCTTCACCGACTGAGCCACCCAGGCGTCCCTAAAGATTTGATTTTTAAGTAATCTATACACCCAATATGGGGCTCAGACTTATAACTCTGAGATCAAGAGTCATGTGCTTTACTGACTGATCCAGCCAGATGCCCCTCTTTTTGATTTATTTAAAGAAAATGTAATATATGTCTTGTGCATATATATAAAAAAGGACTAGTGAGTATGTTTAATAAGAAATTTCTTTTTAAAAATTTTTTATTTTAAAGACTTTATTCACTTGTTTTGTCAGAGAGAGAGAGAGAGAGAAAGAGTACAACAAGCAGGGGGAGCGGCCCATAGGGAGAGAGGGAGAGGGAGAAGCAGGCTCCCTGCCGAGCAGGGAGCCCGATGCGGGACTCGATCCCGGGACTCCAGGATCATGACCTGAGCCGAAGGCAGTCGCTTAACCGACTGAGCCACCCAGACGTCCCCTCCCACTGCTTTTTATCCCATCGTTTTGTCTCCTTCATTGGACTCCCGTGAAATTATACTAACTCTTCATTTGTGCTCTCTCTCTCTCTCTCCCTCCTATTCTCAGCTCTCTCCCCAGCACCTAGCACAGTTCCCGGCACACCGTAGGGGCTCAATAAATATTTGTTAAATGAATGAGTAAGTACTAGGTGCTGGGGGCTACGTAGCTGGGAACCAAACACAGATGGTCTGCAGGGGAAGAGGGAGGGGTGATCCAACTATTTTGACCAGAGTCTTCTGTGTTCACCACAAGGCTGGGGGCCGCAAGAGCACCTGGGGTAAATCAGGGCAGGCTGCTTAGAGGAGGCAAAATGTGAAGATCAGAGGATGGGTAGGAAAGAAATGTTTGTGGGTGGGAGAAGTGGAACAGAAAATGGAGTTCGGGGCTGGAGGATCACCAGGAAGAAAGGCTGAGCAGAGAAGGAATATGATGTATTCAAAACACAAAAAATTTAGTATGCCTACAGCTGGGGCAGTGAGTAGCTCAAGGTAAGTGGGGAGAGACCCTCAGAGGCCCCACTAAGAAGCTGCACTGGGGGTTAAGCATCCAACTCCTGATCTCAGCTCAGGATTCGATCTTGGGGTTTTTGAGTAGGCCCCATGCCCAGCGTGGAGCCCAACATGGGGCCTATTCAAAAACAAAACAAAACAAAACAAAACAAAAGAAGCTGGATTTTATCTGGATAACACTCGCCCTGCCCCCCGTGACTGCAATTTCACACAGCCGCTGGGTGTCCTTCACTCACACTCTGGTCCCAGACCACACCGTGGCTCCTGGAAGGAAGGGTCAGTGGCTGGGCCCAGGGTCACTGGCACCATGGAGCCTGGCACCAGCGAACACTCAGCATGGTGCTGTGTCTTAGCCAGGGCCAGGTTCCAGAGCGACCCGGTCCAGGGAAAGTCAAGTCTGGTCCAGATTGCCCCTGAAATCCTTCTAGTCACCCAGAAAGTACAGCCCAGGACCATCTAGGGGAGTCTCACAGCCAGCTCTGCCTCCAGGGTGGGAACACACTGCTGTTTCCTCTGGCGGAGCAGTGGGTGGGATACAAACAGTTCGCGTTTAGAGGCCAAGTTGTATGAGAAGCACAAACTGTACCTTTATCAATAAGAACCCCCACAAGCCCAGGGGGGGTGCCCCCTCCCAGGCACGGCTAGGGGAGCTGGGCCCACCAGGGCTGCCCCGTGAGGACCCAGGAACCCAGCGGGCACCACCAACAGTACTGTGGGGAGCCGCTGCCCACCCCTCCCGCCTCGCAGGTCCCCGGAAGGGTGGCCCTCCAGAAAAGAGCTTAGTTGAAAGAGGTTAGGGTTTGGAGACAGGGAACCTTCCAGAGGGTGAGACTGAACTGTGATTCTAAGTAAGCAAGCTACACTCTAACCAGTGAAATAAAGGAGTCATAATAATGTGAACCTTGAGCCCTAAATAAGGGCCAGACACAGGTGCACACTTCCTCACTTACTCTTCACATCAACCCTAAGAGATGGAGCACTGTTCTTACCTGCCTTTCAAAGGAGAAACTGAGGTAGACAGGTGACCATGGTGGCCCATTGTCATCCAGATAGTCAAGGACACCCATGCTCTTAATTTCCACCCTACTGCCTCTCACCAAAGACTCAGTGGCCGGGAAATACTTTCATTTTGATTCCTACTAAAACACACATAATGTTATTTGTTCAACTTTAATACTGATCTCTATCATTGGGGGGGCGGGTAACAGGTTATCTTAATTTTTATGCTCTTTGCTATGTTCTCAATTTTCTACAGTAAGTATGGTTTGCTCTTAGTAAGAAAAAAAAATAAAAAATAAAAATAAAAACCCTGACTTAGTAGAACACTTTTTCTTAAAGAGACAGGCTGAGATTGTCCACATGGAGAGCCAAGGCAAGGGGGAGGACCAAAACGGGACAGGGGAGGGGCAAGGCCCCCAGGGACCCAGCACAGGTGTGGGGACACCTGGATTCTAGTCCCGCCATTCAGCTTTCCTGTGTGTGACCTTGACCTCCTTGCTTCCTCTCTGGGCCCATTTCTTCTCTGCACAAGGAGAGGCCCAGCTGTCCCCAGGAGAGATTCCTGCAGGAGGATGCCCCAGGTGGGAGGCTCAGGAGCCACCCAGTGATGACTCAGAGAAGCACCCTGTGGTTCTCTCAACCCCCACCCCAGGTCCCCAGCCTCTCAGTTCTCAGACCTTGAAGGTCATTTCAAGGGGACAACGCTGCACCACAGCCCCACAGGGCCACTTGCTGGCTTTGGAGGAAAAGCCCCAGGGAAGTGTCTGCAAACAGGAAGTGAGGGGGGGGTGGGCGCCAGAGAGGGGAACTCACAGCGAATGAACGAAAGCGCACCCTGCTTTGTCTACTTTTACTCTCGTTCAGTGATTGGTTTCGGGGTTTGCTGCCCAGACGACTGTGGGCTGCACGAGGACAGCCAGCACCCCCAGGGCCCAGCACAGTGCTGTCTTACTCAATCCCTATTTCAACGACCGAATGAATGATCCAGTGAATAAATGATGTGCTGTTTTCTGAGCTCCGCAGCCCGGCACCTCCCCAGCCCCACGCCCAGGGCCAGCCTCCCTCTCACCTTGGCCAGGGCTGGCGAAGTGGTTGTAATACTGGGACACGTAGGTCATGATGCTGAGGCAGTCAGGGACACTCATGGAGACCATGTCATTGGGGTCCAGGAGAGCGGGAATCCCCAGCTCCTTCTCAGCCACTTCAAAGGCCTGGGGTGAGGGCAGGTGCAGGGGGTGGGGTGAGGGGAGTGGGAGTTGGGGGGGGCAAGGGTAAAGTGGGGTAAAGTGGGGGAAGGTGGGGGGATGGGGCAGGGGTGGGAGTGGGGGCAGGTGCGGGGCGGTGGGGGGGGGGGGGGAGTTGCGGGGGTGGGTGCGAAAGCGGCCACAACAGGAAGAGGAGGAGGCAGGGTTAGGGTTAGTGCCCTGCAGCCTAGGCCCAGCTTCCCGCAGTGGGATGAAGGGTCCAGGGCTACGGGCTCCCCTCAGCTCTGGCCGCACAGGGTGCCCCAGGCATACATGGGCCAGAAGGAAGAAGGGGGGTGGGGAGAGGAGCAGCAAGGGCCCCAGTGCAAAGCAGCTTCTCAGAGAGCCAGTCCAGGAGCCCCTCGCCTCAGCTCCTACTCTGCAGAACCCCTGCCCACCCCGCCCCCCTCCACACACTCACAGCCTCTAAGCCTTCCATCTGTTTGGGGACTCACCAAACGGTTATTCTCGAAGACATTGTCCTTGGAAAGCGAATCAAAATCTCTGCAAGAGGTAAAGGGGAGGAGGAGCATTGAGGAGGTGACAGGGGCAGGGGTGTGGGTCTGGCAGGAACGGAGGTGACCTCATCCCAGCCAGCGTGGGCCTCAGCAGGGTTGGGGGAGGGGTCTGTGGATGGCCAACGAGGAAACTGAGGCAACACGCACAGGCTAACAGAGCCAGGCCTGCCGGGTGGGCGCAGAGCAGGAGCTCATGGCCCCCACACCGCCCCAAGCATCCAAGCAGAGCCTGGAAATCACTCTGAAGGGGTGGGGCTCAAGTCCAAGCTTTTTTTTTTTTTTTTTTTTTTTTTAAGTCCAACCTTTCAAGTCTAAGATCTCTCACTATGCCGGCAAGCCATGTCCTGAGTCAGTGGCAAAGACAAAACCGAGACCAGGACTAATGTAATGACGGGGACGGCCACGGATTGCTGACCTCACACCAGGCACTGTGCTGAGCTCCTGTCGGGAGTTTATTTTCATAGCAACTCTCTTGGCAGGTACTGACCCCATTTTACCGATGAGGACACTGAGACCCAGAGAGGGGAAGCCACCCAGCCCCGAGGATCCACAGTTCTGGACCTTCCACCGGCTATCACAAACCCAGAGGAGCCGCACCGACTTGCCGAATCCCCGACCCGGCCCAGAGACGAATGTAATTTTTTAATGGGGCCAGGAATAGAAGAACAAGTCTGAATCCGACTGGAAACTGTACATACTCCAGAGCTACTGAGAACGTCTGGCCGACCCGCTGGGCCACTCCTGGGGACCCCTTCCCTTGGGGGAGCAGTAAAGGGTTTCCCAGTTTCTAAGCTGGGATAGGTGAGAGGCAGCGGGGCCTGCCCTGGGGACCCTGGCGGGAGACACCTGGCCAGCCTGCCGCCTCTATCTGTCCCCTTCCTCCCATTCAGCGCCCCAGGCTGCTCAAGTGGCTGAAACTGGGCAAAGGCACCACAGCCTTCTGGCTCGGCAGCCTCCTGGGGGCACCCTCCCAACGTCTTGCCCTTCTATGGCTGAAAACTGCAGCCTTGACTCTCCCACATGGTGGGCCCAGAGATCAGAACAGGCTAGCACCACCTCCAAGCTCAGGGTCCCAGACTCGGCTCTTCCAGGCCTGGCTGTGTGACACCTGGGGCAGGTCAGCAGTCTTCTCGGCCTTCATTCTCCCATCTGTAAGTTGGGGGAAGCTCTAGCACCCCCTCCCAGGTTGGTGGGGAGGGCTGGATGAGTCTGGGCTTTGGGAAGGGCAGGTCTCACTGATACAAGGGCGCAGGCAAGCATGCCTCCCGCCTCCTGCCCCCAAACTGCTCCAGGCAGAGTCCAGGTACGATGAGCGATGAGCGAACAGATGAACGGTAGGCCGAGGTGAGAAAGGGTAGCCTGAGAACCCCAGAGGGAGGTGCCCCAAGGTTGGGTGGACTAGGACAGGGGAGCTGACTAAGAATGAGCCTCAGCCCTTCTGCCACCTCTGGCCAGGCCTCTTCCCTCCCCCCTCCCCCCACCCCTGCCCCTACCCCCCACCCCACCCGAGCCGAAGCTGGGTCCCTAGGCACACTTGCTTTGCCACTGCCTAAGAGTGTGACCATAAGCAAGCTATTTAAAGTCTCTAAACCTCAGCCTCCTAGTCTGTGACCCTGTGAACCGGTGAGGGGACACCAGCCCAGCCACAACAAAGGCTTGTTCAGAGACCAAAGGACACAAAAGCAACTTGTCTTGGCAGTTAACTTCAGTCTCCCCCACAGTGTTCTTAGAAGGCTGGGCTCACGTTTTGTTCACCCTGTGCCCCCAACACCCTATGTAGTTCCGGGTACTTAGTAAGTGCTCAACAAATATTTATTAAATGAATAAATTCTGTGAAAACTGTAAAAACCCCGGAGACGCTGATTTTTCCTGCAGCTTCTTCCCCACTCCCATCTCTGTCCCTAATCAACATCTGGGCTTTGGTAACACAGATATTTTCTGAGAGTTTTCAAAAGCTGGGGAAGTTCTATTTGGCTCTGGGGGAGATGAAGTACACAAAAATGAAACCCACATGGTCTCTGCCCTCAAGGGAGCTTAAAGATGCCTGGATTGGGGGTCAGAGGGGTGGCCAACAATGAACCAGGCCCCCCAGCATGACAAACCCCGCCCCCCAGCAGCGGCAGGGCCCACAGCTCCAAGAGCTTGAACCCCTTCAGATGACTTGCCCCCAGCCCCTACCCTACCCCTACTCTCATGGAGATCCTCCCTATGCCTCCTGTGGCAGTTGGGCCTCAGTTTTTCTTCTGCACAATGGGCTGGTAGCCAGGCAACTGGCCCGCTCCACAAATGAATGTCTACACATGATTCTGAACCTCTTCTCAGGAGGGGAGCTGCCCTCCCCTGCTTAAAACCCACAAAGCTCCGCATGGCTCCATCCACCCTCCTTAGCCAGCAAGAGGCCCTGGCGTTCTGGGCCAGCTGCATCTCCTGATCCTCCCTGCCCCATGCTATGGGCCCCAGCAGTGCTCCACCCCCACCCCCGCGGGGCTCTGCTCAGGTGGCCCCCTCTGGCCGCGGGAACACCCTTCCCTCGTAGGGGGAGCCCCTGGCTCCTGCTATCTCCATTACCAGGCAGGGCCCGGCACAAACGAAGGAGTAACATACCCTCATCACACCCTACTGTCTAATCACACAACTTGTAATAACTCATGTTAACTGAATACTCATTATCTCATATAATCCTCACAACAATTCTGTGACATAAATCCTATTATCAACCCCACTGTACAGATGAGGAAACTGATGTCTGGAGGGGTCCAGTGATTTACCCCAGCTCGCACATCTAGAACACGGAGTGGCTGAACGAAGCCAAACAGCCTGCACTTTGATGCTGGCCAGCTCAGGTCCACCGATCACCTTAGCCTGACCCTGAGGTCCCTTCACACACTGGCCCTGTCCCTTGCCTCCTGCCTCACTGTCTGCTCCCCAGCCGCAACCGAAGGCCCCTTGAGCCCTCTGCTCCAACACAGGGGTCCAATCTGGGCGCCCTTCCTCCAGCCTTCCAACTCCCGCTCCTGAGCTCCCCCGCCCCCAGCCCATGGTTGTGTTAGAGCGGCTGCCACCCACCCCACAGCGGGCAGGCGCCCATGGACGTCTCCACCTCGTCTTCCTTCGCTTCTGCAGCCGCACCCCCCCAAAACCCTCTCCTCCACGGCCCAACACGGGGCCCGCCCCAGCACCCAGACACGGTAGCACACAGATGGGATCCTTGAGGCCATTCTCTCCTCCCTTGTCGCCTCCATCGGGGCCCTGCCAGGTGCCATTAGCGGGAGCACAGGTCTGCAGTGGGACAGACACCCAAAGACCCCAGACCCGGCCAGGCTCGGGGAGCCCTGTCGGGGGCGCTGTTGGCAAAAGAGGCAAAGACCAGGTCTCTGGGTCTCAAGTTGCAGATGAGACAGGAAGCCCAAGGAATGGTGGGCCCCAGCTTAATTTTCACTCCGTGTTTGATGAATGAGTGAATGAGTGAATAAATGAAGAGGTTCCAGAGTTCAAGGCAGGGGTTGCTGAGAGAGAAGCCCCAAGTCGACTGCTCTGGGGGTCTGAATAAATATCTCCATGAGAACCTCACCTGGCAGCTGGGGGCAAGAAGGGGCCATTTCACACCCTGGAGCAGCGCCCCGGGGGCTGTCAGTCAGACCTTGGGAATCTTCCCTCAGCCTCCCTGCCCCATTGAGGACCGTAGGGCTGTGGGTACACACTTGGGAGGCAGATCTGTGTCCTAACTGGGGTGGGAGGTAGGGGGTGTGGATCCATTCATCCAACCACTATTAACCCAGGGTCTCCTCTGTGCCAGGCACTAGACACAAGACGGCACGGGGCGGGGGGATCAGAGAAGTGAGCCAGAGGACCCCCCTCCCAGAGGGCCGAGCCTCAATGCCTCGCGGAGAGGGGGTTGCTCAGTGCGCCTGTTTGAGTGGTGCGGGAAAGGCCCAGGGTCCCCAAGGAGGGCTAAGGTGTCTCTTTGGCGGAAATCAGTGCCCTGTGGGCGGGGCCAGGGCCCTCTGTGCAGGGACCAGTATGGGGGGCAGGTTCAGTGTCCCAGTGGGCGGGGGCGGGGCCTCGTGAGGAAGGGGTCCCCCGGGGGGGGAACGGGTGCTCGGTGACCCGCGAGTCGTTGAGGGCCCGTCGGTAGGGTCGGCGTCTCGGTCTCCGTGGGGGCGGCGCCTGCCACCGCCCGAGCTCCGCGTCACTGAGGGGGGCGGGGGTCCCCAGCTCGGGCCCGCGCCGCCCTGCGCCCCGGCCCGCCCGCCGCCCCTCCCCCCGCCCCCAGCACTCACAGCAGGTCGGGCCGGTGCCGGTGCAGGATGGCGCAGAAGGCCAGGCCGTCCCGGAAGGAGCTGCTCAGGTCGCGGATGTCCACGCCGCCGTAGCCCTCGCACTGGCGGCGGCACCAGGCCAGCAGCGCGCCCCGCGGCCCCGCCATGAGCCGCGCGGGGCTCGGGACAGGCTCCGGGCGCCTCCGGGATCAGGCTTCACCCCCGGGCCCGACTCCGGCCGGTTTCCGGCGGCGGCTCCAGCTCCGACTCCGGCGCCGCTCCGAGCTGCGGGCGCCGACCCGCGGGCGGCGGGCGCAGGGCGGGGAGGAGGCGGGGCCGCGGCCTCGGTGTCCGCGCTCGGGCTCCGGCGCGGGGTCCCGGCTGGGCTCGCTGCTCCCCGCCCGGCCCTGCCCGGACCTGCCCGAGCAGCCGCCGCCCGCGTGGCCCGGCCCGGCCGGCCGCCGCCTACTCACCGCCGCCCGCCCCCCTCGCTGTGGGCCGGCCGCGGGCGCGGGCGTCCCGCTGGCTTCGGTCCCCGCCCGCCGCCGCCGGGAGCCCCGGGGGCCTGGCGCCCCACCCAGCGGCGGCTCCGCCCCCAGACGCGCCCCCGCCCACGCGAGGGCCGGACACCCCGCAGTCCCTCTGCTGGGCGATCGCGGTTACCGCTTTTCCTCGGGAACCCCTCAGAGAACTCCGGGACAGCCCCTGGACCCCTCACCCACTGCGAACTCGCCCGTCCCACAATGACGTCTTCCACCCGACTACCTCCACCACGCTGCCCACCTGGAATTCTCCTTTCTCCCAGCCTGCCCTCTTCCCACTCTTTGGCCTAAGGACGTGCAGATCCCCCACACTGACTTCCCTAAACCCACTCACCTTTCCTGCCTGAAACTTTGGGCAGGCATTCCCCCCCACCTCAGGCCAATCGGGCAGTTGCCCCGCTGACCCCAAAGCACCCCAGATGGCCTGATCCAGGGCCCTTCCCTGACGCAGTCTCACCACTCCAAAACGCCCCTGACCTCCGTAGTTCTATCTGCCACTATCCCCTTCCCCCATCGCCTGCCAGGGAGACTTCATGCTCCCACCCCACCCCCATCAGTCCATGTGTGCACTCCGCGATGTAGTGAGCCTGTCGACTGGTCCTTCAGAGTTCTCCTCTGCCCCTGTGTAGGCTCAGGGATCTCCTCCCGCCCCATTAGAAGGGTGGTGGGTGGGGCCCCTGTGGGCAGAACCCATAGGAAGCAGGCTCTTGTCGAGTGGGGCTCTGGGTCTCAGGCCTTGGAACCCCAAGCCTCGTTCTGCTTCCCTCCCCAAGACCTGGCTCAGCCGCTCCTCCCCAGAGGTCCCTCCTGACCTCAGATGAATCAGCCTTCCACTCGCGCTGGTGGTGACATCACTCTGACCAGTATAATAGTGAGCTGGGGTGGGTCTGTCGCTCCACCCCCCATGGGAAGGAGCAGGGTCTTAGTCACCTCTGTCACCCCTCAGCCCTCGGAGGTTGGAAAGAACAGGGCTTTGGGAGTCCTAGGCACCCAGGCTGGAATCCTGTCTTTCCCCACTACCTCAGCCGTGTGATCTTGTGCCTTCTCCTTCACCTCAGTTTCCATACCTTAAAAATAGGGATAACTCCTGAGTAATGTATAGAATTGTTGAATCATTATATTGTTCACCTGAAACTAATATAACACTGCATGTTAATTATTCTCCAATAAAAAAAAATAGGCATAACTCTAGCTTTACAAAGTGGCTGAGAGGATTAAGATATAATGTGCCTGACCTTTCAGTCATCACTCATAAATTCTAATTCTTGTTACCTGGTAACCTGGTATTTAAACGTGTGGCAAAATGGATTGAAAACATTTTTTTTTTAAAGATTTTATTTATTTACTTGACAGAGAGAGACACAGCGAGAGAGGGAACACAAGCAAGGGGAGCGGGAGAGGGAGAAGCAGGCTTCCCACAGAGCAGGGAGCCCGATGTGGGGCTCGATTCCAGGACCCTGAGACCTGAACCGAAGGCAGACGCCTAACGACTTTAGCCACCCAGGCACCCCTGAAAACATTTTGTACCCAGCTTCTCACGTGGGCCTTTTGAGGAAATTATGGAGGAGAGAAGCCCACTTGGGGATTGCCACCTCCTCAAGGACTTCCTAAGCCTCAAGTCCAGAATGCCGTTATGACCCCAACTGGGCCAGCCTGCCATCTTAGATCTGTTCAAGGCTGGAAGGCCCATTCTTGGCCCAGAATGTGGACTCTCTCAGGCCACCTAGGAAGTGGCTGCCGTGGGCCAGGTGGCCTAGCGAACCCTCTTGGCCCCTCACCAGCCTGTGCTTGCCACCTCCTGCCCTGTCCCCTTTGAGAGAGCAACTCCAGGAAAGGAAGGTTCCTTTCATTAAATCAGAGACTCGTCCTCAGGACCCACCTTGGCCTTCAAAGACCACCAGGACTCTTTCCTTAAAACCCAGGAGGGATTATATCCCTGTCCTCACCAGCCTAAGGGGCTCCCCCCAGGTCCCCAAAGACAGCTCCAGAGCAGACCTTAATCCCGTTGCCGTAATAATAACTTATATGGTACAGCCCTCTGGGTCCCCGTTAGCCCATCTGTGGGCTTTATAAACTCATTATCTGAGTCAGCTCACCGCAATAGGAAAGAAGGACCTGCATGAGCACAGCTGTGTCTGCAGGCCAGACAGCTCGCCCCTAGGAACCCCAATTTCCTACCTTATAACATGGGGATAATAATCTTTGCCTTGCCTGCAACCCAGGGGTGTGGGTCATCAGCTAAGATAATGGATGACAAACTTGCACACGGGGCACCTGACTGGCTCAGTCGGTAGAGCGCTCGACTCTTGATCTTCAGGGTGGTACGTACAAGCTGCACACTGGGCATAGAACTTGCTTTAAAAAAAAAAGTGCTGGGCAGACTGTAAATCTAGGGTTCAGGTGAGTGTTGGGACTGCGTTTACAGGTGAGGTCAGAAGCCACAGACGGCTAGGCAAGTCAAGTCACTGGCCCCAAATTATACCATAATTTCAGGATTAGGACTGAGGGATCTGGGCCCTTAATTCAGTGTTTTTCTTTATTTTTTTAACTACCAATTAAGGGATCCCATTCTCCTCATCAAAAATTGAAAAATAAAAGCTAAAGTTCCTAGTTGCCTCCCTCAGATCCAGTCCCCTTCTAAGAGGTAGGCACAGTTGTCAGTTTGAAACTTATCCTTTCGGACCTTGTACATGCGTTTGTATTCACACATGGATTCAACACAGATTCCCTGAGCACCCACTTCCCAGCTTGGGCATTCAAGGGGAAAGAAGAGTAAACGAGACAGGGTTCCTGCCCTCATGGAATTAACTTTCTAGCAGGGAAGACAGGCAGGGAACAAGAAAACAAATCAACGAAGATAATTTCAGATGGTGAGTGGTGCTGGGGCAAAAAATAGAAAAGACGCTGTGAGAGAGCCGTGGAGATAGACAGGGCCACCAGGGAAGGCATCTTTGAGGTGGGGACATTTGAGCTGAAGAACACCCATCCCACAAAAAAGCACATTGAATGCAAGCCAGTGAGCGATGTCCTTGCAGGTAGAGTTTGAATCTTTTCTGGTTTAATCCAGGCTAACAGCTGCAGGGGTCCCAGTGGTGGGGCAGGACTAGTCTGGTGAGTGAGACAGACTACTGGGTGATCTTTGTCGAGCACGATAAAGGGCAAGGGAAAGGAAGGTGTCCAGGGGAGCTCCCGGACTACTTCGGGAAAGAGCACCTTGCTTTCTCCACTGGCCATTCTTTCTACCAACCTGTTTTGCAGGAGGGCTGTGGAGAGGCAGAGGCAAAGACAGGATGAAAAACCAGAACCCACTGGGGTAGGAGAAGCTAATATAGGATGAACACTGGTGGGAACGAAGAGTGAGGGAATGACCAGGGCCTAAGGTTTACATTTGTCTTCCCATGCAGATCTCACGGTCACTTTCAGAAAGATAAAAGGGAGAGGGATTGGGGGCACCTGGCTGGCTCAGTCAGTAGAGCATGCGACTCTTGATCTTTGCTTGAGTTTGAGCCCCATGTTGGGCAGAGAGATTGGAAAAAAAAAAAAAAAAAAAAAGACAGCCTTAGAGGGGACGCCACTAGGCACCTCTAGCTGTTGAGTTCATCTGATTCTGCACCTGCTCAGAGGCCGGTGGATTGCTTCTCTCTCAGAGCCAGAGAACTCCATGTATGTATGTGCAGTTCCTGGGGGTGGGAGGGGAGGCCTGGTTGGCCCCATTTCACCCACCACCCCTCTCTGCCACACACTTGCCTGAAGATACTGGACAAAGATGTCATCTGCCCAAGTTCAACGTCAACATCTATAAAAGGTGGAGGATTCTGTCCTCCAAAATACTATCCCAGGGGCCTTGAGATGCACACACAAATATGGTCTTTGTTTGCTAACAGCAAACACTGGAAACATGCTAAATATTCATTAGTAAGGGACTGGGTAATTACGATTCAGCACAGCTACATGACAGAAAACCACACAACTGTTAAAAAGAATGTCATGGAAATACATCCTCGAAAGAAGTGAAAAAAGCAAGCTGCAGAATAATAGGTATAAAAGGATCCCATTTTTGCAAAACAAAACTTATATGTATGTGATAGATATTTCATATCATATATATTTATGTATCTAAACATTTCCATGAGCATACATATGGAATTTTTAAACATCAGGAAGAGGGGCGCCTGGGTGGCTCAGTCGTTAAGCGTTTGCCTTCAGCTCAGGTCATGATCCCAGGGTTCTGGGATCGAGCCCCACATTGAGCTCCCTGTTCCGCGGGAAGCCTTCTTCTCCCTCTCCCACTCCCCCTGCTTGTGTTCCCTCTCTCGCTGTCTCTGTCAAATAAATAAAATCTTAAAAAAAACAAAACAAAACCTTGAACTCCGTATCAGAGCAAAAACTGGAGCCAACTCTTAAAAAAAAAAGTCATGGGGCGCCTGAGTGGCTCAGTCGTTAAGCGTCTGCCTTCGGCTCAGGTCATGATCTCAGGGTCCTGGGATGGAGCCCCGCATCGGGCTCTCTGCTCTGCGGGAAGCCTGCTTCTCCCTCTCCCACTCCCCCTGCTTCTGTTCCCTCTTTCGCTGTGTCTCTCTCTATCAAATAAATAAATAAAATCTTAAAAAAAAAAAAAAGTCATTATGCTTTGAATTTATGACAATAGGAGGTATAACTTTTTAAAATAACAGCTTTGAGATATAATTCACATACCATAAAATCACTCTTTTCAAGTGTACAGTTCAGTGGTTTTTAATATATTCACAGAGTTGTGCAGCCATCACCACTATTTAGAACATTTTTTAAAAAAGATTTTATTTATTTTTTTGACAGAGAGTACAAGTAGGCAGAGCGGCAGGCAAAGGGAGAAAGAGAAGCAGGCTCTCTGCTGAGCAGGGAGCCTGATGTGGGGCTCGATCCCAGGACCCTGGGATCATGACCTGAGCTGAAGGCAGACACTCAACCAACTGAGCCACCCAGG